TTTAATAACTATTTTATTTCAGTGTTCTCTGTTCCTCATGAGGACAAAGTAGATAACGGCGCAGGAAAATTCCCCCTCTCAATTAAGTGCCCCCCTTGAATAAGCGCCCCCATTTTCTCATAATTTTGAATTAAGCTCCCTGGGTGCTAATTGATTTGAGGATTTACAGTATCTACAACTACAGGAGTGGGCTATAAAAATCAAATCTATCAGGAAACATTTTTGGTAGTCAACCCCTTGGCAAGAGCTTCATTGAATGTAGCCTACCCTTGAATCCTTACACAAAAATCTATAACCCAGCCCCTACTAAATCAAAATGGCTATTAGCCAATTAACTTGGAAAATGAATTCACAGTATGTAACTCAACAATTACCTGCAGCTACAAGAGTGTTATAACACTAGGTACTATATAAATCCAAGTATGTTTGCTCTATAAATTTCTTTTCAGAGGGTAAAAGGCATGCTGCTGGTATGTTAAGAATGTCTGGCCTCCTTCACAACCTTCAGCAGCATTCATTTGATACCAGTGGACAACCACTGTGTATATATGGCGACCTCACCTATCCACTAAGAATTCATCCTCAGGGACCATACAAGGGTGGCCAGTTGACGGTTGACCCAGAAGAATTCAACTCCTCTATGAGTAAACTCAGGGAAGCTGTGGAGTGGGTGTTTAGTGACGTAGTAACATACTTCGCTTTCCTAGATTTTAAGAACTTAAAGATTGGATTAAGTCCAGGGGGTGTAATGTATTCAGTGTGTGCTCTGCTTGGGAATGCATGTACTTGTTTATATGGATCAACTACAAGCACCTATTTTGATGTTCAACCTCCTACATTAGATGATTATTTTCAGGTTTAAAGCTCTTGATTTGCTACATCATAGTTAGTACTAACTATGGTTACATTTAAGTAATGCAATTTGGCAAAGTGATGAGGAGACAAAAGAGAAGAATTGAACCAAAATCATGTAATTATATTTTCTGCATGTAAATTTCTATTGTACAGTTAGCTATGAAAGGAGTAATTGATGACAATGGGATGTGGATCCATGGCCAGCAATTTTTTTCCCTACTCGAGAATTTTCAAATCTAAATTAATTTACTTGAGAAAATCAAAATTGTAAATATGTATAATTTTTAATTTCAAAACAGCTGAACTGTTTTTGTAATAATAGTGCAGTAATGATTTATATTATAAAACTACATATATATTTGTAAAAAGATGTAAAAGAATTGTATTCAAAATATTTTACAATAGAAACTCTTCATTAATTTTCATTTCAGAAATATAATGGTATTAAATATGACAATAATTAATGAGAAGCTAATAAAATGTTTCAGTGTTCAAGGTTTTATCATAATGCAAACTCACTATCTTCATTAAAGGCTGTCAAATAACGAATTGAAAACTATAGTTCGAAAACCTCAAAACTATAATCATGGTTATATGTTAAATACAATTGCTGAATTGATTAAAAGTTAAATTGCGAGCTAATAAATTTTTCAGTTTTCAAGTTTTTTCCTCAAAGTGCAAACACAAAATTCATAAAAATTGGTGAAATAAGAAACTTTAGTTTCAAAACCTCAGTCATCGTGCATTAGATGCAAAGCTCAATTGAACTTTTTAATTGTTAATATTTCAGTAAGTGTATTTAACATAGCCAGGTTCATTCCTTGTTGTTGCTGCTTGAAGTGTTTTTTGCTGCTGGAATTGTTGCTGTTGCTGAAGCAGCATTGCTTGGAATTGCTGTTGTTGACGCAATTCCTCGGCACGCAATGAAGCTCTCTTTTTTTTTTTTGAGCTGTTGTTCAGCTTTTTCGGAGGCCTTTCTCTCAGTGCTTCGTTCCAAGAGTTCCGTGGGAGTGGTGTGGCTTTTTCTCTTTTTGGGTGTCGTACCATCAGAGTTTTCTTCATCGTTCGTGCTGGTTCTTTGTTTTGTTTCACTTAACTTCTCTGTTGCTCGTTTCCTCATCTCTTCGGCTGTTAATTTTTCACTTTCTTCTTTCCCCTGCTGCTGCTCCTGCCAATTCACAATCTGATGATGGATATTGGTCAGGGCCTGGTATATCTCGTCGTATTCAATATCCACCCCACTAGCCCCCGTGACTTTCTTCCTTTTCTCTTTTCTTGAAGTCTTGGTATAACTTATCAAACTTCTCTCTTGCTGATCTTTGAGTAACTTTCATTCCGCTCTCTTGCAAATGTTCGGCGACTTTCGTCCAAGATACACCTCTCTCTTTTGAACCTGGTCGGTACTTCTGATGCTCTTTAACCTGTGCTTCTCTGAGAAGCATAGCTTCGTTTTTCCTTTTCCAAATAAAAAGTTCTCGTTTCGCCATCGCTACGAAGAAAGTCAGGAAAGTGTTAACCATATCACAGCAATTCACTGTTTATATCTCTCCTGCATGTTTAAAGTTTAAAGGGTGAAAGTGCTTTTTAAGGCCTTCATTTTTCAATTTAAATTTATTCGACTGGCGATATGTTGTTTACATGTATAGACCTCAGAATTTCGTGAAAATTGGTCAACCAAAAAGTACCAAAAACAAATGGAATCAGGGTTTGTAATAACATTCAATTCGTTAAAACCTCTGTACACGGGTTTGCTGTTGCTGACTTAGAAAAAGACTAGCGTAAGTTTAAAGTACAAAGTACTCACCTTTCGAAACTCGTTCTCTGGAGGACGACTTCTGGTCAAAATCTCGTTGTCGAGGACATTCCTCAGCATTCAGTTGAGTTCGATTTTTCTTCCTTTTTTTCGGGTAGTTACGATGATTTTAATGTTAAAAGCACTAGCAGCGGCGTCAAGGACCGTTTGAGCGCCTCCATTTAATTTTGGAACAGTACCTTGAGTGCTCCTGAGTTTGTACCTGACACCATCAGGCGTGGGTACTGGCTTCCTTTCGCGGAGTATCCGCCCTCGTGTTTTTTGGCTAATAATAGATCGGCCTTTCAGCATTCTGAATTTGGGACACAAGCCACCTCGGAGCTTTTAGCCGACGGTTGCATTATTGAGCACTGTATTCCGCCATTTTGCGTTAACCCCTTGTCAGTTGCTAAAGGTAAGAATTTACCCTTAGTCATCCATCTCAGGCACGTTAACAGTTTCCTTGTAAGGTTAAAATTTAAGTACGAGGATCTTCGCTCCCTAAAGTCCTTGAGGAGGGGCACTGGCTCTTTACATGGGACCTTAAGTCCGGATATCATCATGTTGATATCTGCTTAGAGCATCAGAGGTATCTCGGTTTTTCTTGGAAGTTCAACAGGGTGCCAAGATATTTTACCTTCATAGTTTTGCTCTTCTGCCTTAGCAGCGCCTGTTTTTTGCTTCACCAAATTGTTGCGTCCGTTAGTCTGTCGCTGGCGCTCTATGGGTCACAATAGCTTTATCAATCTCGACGATGGGGTCGGAAGTCTATCGGATAAGTGTTCCGCAGCAGCAGCTGCCAATATACAAAAGAAAGAGCTCGACTCCTCAGGTCTCCTTGTGAATGAAGAAAAATCTCATTGGCATCCCATGCAAGTAGGCGCATGGCTGGGTTTCGTGATTAACGCTATTACTGTCTTTTCATATTCCTGAAAGGAAGGTGGAAAAGCTTAAGAGCCTTTTAGGCTCTGTAATTGGAGATACGTCGTCCTCGTATCGAGAATTGACCGGAATCGCCGGTTCTATAATTTATGTAGCCTTGGCAGTGGGGCCCATTTCGCGTCTTCTAACCAGAAAAATGTACCTAGCAATTGAATCACGATCAGCGTGGGACCACACCCTTCGTTTTTCTCCGGCTCTTTTGGAAGAGTTGAGATTTTGGTACAGCAATATAGAATATAGACTCGTTTAACTGCTATTCTCTTCGTCCACCCCCTGATTCGTCGACGGTTATTTTCTCTGATGCTAGTGATGTCGCCTTCGGCGGGTTTTCGGCCTCCTTGGACGGCGTAATGGCTAGCGGCATGTTCACCACGTCTGAAGATCTTGGTCAGAGCTCCACGTACCGCTAGTTGAAAGCTATTTATTGTGTTCTATTGTCCTATACGGAGAAGCTGCAGCAGAAGAGAGTAAAGGTTTTCACCGACAATCAAGGCGCTGCGAGAATAGTTTCTGTTGGCAGTTCCAAAGTCCACCTCCAGTCTGCTGCTATGAGTATTTTTGATTTTTGTTTTTCAAACGGAGTCACCCTTGAAGCACAGTGGATTCCCAGGTCGCAGAATGAGAGGGCTGATCTCCTTAGCGGATTCCTTGACAAAGACGATTGGCGCGTCAATCCTTCAGTTTTCCGCCTCCTTGATGCTAAATGGGGTCCTCATACATTCGACCGCTTCGCGACCTATTACAATGCTCAGCTTCCTCGGTTTAACTCGAAGTTTGGCTCTCCCGGATGCAGTGGGGTCGACGCTTTGGCACAAGACTGGAGCGCCGAAAACAACTGGATATGTCCCCCAGTTAATCTAATCGTGATTCTGTCCGTCATCTCATGTCTTGCTCTGGCCGCGGCACATTGATCATCCCCGAATGGCCATCCGCTCATTTTTGGCCTTTCTTGCATGAAGGGTCTTCTCGATTTAGCTCGTATGTCGCGGAAGTGTTTGTTCTGCCTGCAGTCTTGGATCTACTACTGGAGATTCCTTGTCAGAAGCAGATCTATAAGTCTCGACCTTCTGTTTTTCGTGGTTGCCCGCGCCTAAGTTCAGAATGTTGGCTTTGCGTTTAGATTTTACGTGAGTTTTCTAGCCTTCGTGGCATACTTTTCGAGCCCGGCGGTGCACTTTTTCCGGTCTCTTATTGATTACGCATAGTTGGCTTTTTTGGCGCATTTTCGAGCCTGACTTGGCGTATGTTTTTAGCGTTAAGTGGCGTGTCTTGAGGCATGAGGTGGCCAATTTTAGGCCCGATGTGGCGTTTTGTTTGGCCTGTAGTGGCACCTGGATTTTGCAAATTTATTAGGTATGGGTAAGTTTATGCCGAGCAGCCGACCATCACGTTTGGAATATCCTCTTCTTATACCGATATTGCCCTTCTATATGAACTTGCGCTTTTCAGTTTTCCGTTTTCGTTTTCGTTTCCGTTTCGTTCACCTTGTGTTTTTGTTTTTCAGATGTTCTAATTTCCGGGATTTGGAGGGACGCAGCAGCCTTGGAGGACCCATTACTACGCAGCTTGGTTCCAGATCTTCTTGATTTGCAGTTAGGATCCAGGGCCCCGTCTACCTTAACCAAGTACAAGTCGAGCTGGTGGAGATGGCGCGGATGGGCGTCCTCGAAGATTGGTGTCCCTGTCATTCCGGAAAAGACCTTGCACATTGCACTTTTTATTACAGAACTTGCGAACGTTTGCCTTGCGAACAATACGAGTGTCTCCCTCATAGAAGCTGTTGTTTATGGCATTAAGTGGGCCCACTCTATGGCTGGGCTAGAAATATGTCCAGCCAACCATCCCCTTGTGAAATGTTCTCTTGAGGGCGCGAAAAGAAAATTGGCGCGTCCTGTTTGCCCGAAAGAGCCTTTATCCGTAGTCGCGCTGCAGGCAATTGCCGAATGTTATGTTTCGAGTAATTCTCTTGCCACTCTTCGTTTTTTGTTCATATTGTTAGTTGGTTTCTATGGGTTTTTTCGTATTGATGAAATTAACAGTTTTTGCCTTAAGGATGTGACCATTAATGCTGACCATATGTCTATTTATGTCTCCAAGCGAAAAAATGACCTGTATCGGGAAGGTCACACCTCTTATCTTGCCAGGTCTGGGAAATTTACGTGCCCAATTTCCATTACTGAACGAATTATTCAGGTTTTTTCGCAGTCTAATTCATCGCTTCCGCTTGTTCGTCGTATTATTAAGTCCAAATCTGGCGAGTATTTCCACGCTAGCAAGGGCGTGTCTATTTCTATTCTTAGAGAGGAATTTAAGAAGTACATCCAGCCCTTTGTTGACGACGATTCAAAGTACGGCTCGCATAGTAGGAGGTCTGGTGCAGCGTCGAATCCCGCTTGTAGGCGCATACCTGGCGATTTATTGGATATGCATGCTGGGTGGAGGTGTCCTTCCTCGAAGAACAGATACATTAAACATGCAATTAAAGATCGTTTAAGCGTTTCAAAATCGCTTTTGCTCTGAGGGTATACTTTACGCTAGTTTACAGTTTATTCTTACTTAGCTGAAAGAGCTTTTCTTGTCATTAGTTTGTGATTATTTGTGCTTTTTTGCTAGTTTATAACTGTTGTAGTTCTAGTTTGCTATTTATTGCAATCAATTTATTTATTGCATTTATTATGTACATTTATTTGCTGTATTTGCTATTATGTACATTTATTTGCCCCTGGCGGGGGTCGCAAGTGGTGCCTGGCCCGTCCCAGGTTTCCTGTCCTGTGTTTTCCCTAGGGGGTTTTTTGAAGCAGGTTTTTTCTGGCCCCCCTGGCTCGCTTACTCGCAGTTGATAGATCCGGTTTCGATTATAATCATATATTTCAATTGTAGTTCAATAAACTAATTGATGGCGTTGCTCGCAGCCCACAATCCAATGTTCTCCATGAGTTGTTGTGTCTTGTTTTCATTTGGTTTTATTCGCTTAAGTTAGTGCAGAAAGTCTGTATCATAACATTATTCTAATTAAATGAACTACAAGAGCAGTACTCAATCTTGTTGGACATTCAGATTTTGCTAGCATTCAAGTTGTCCCTGTTCAACAACAGACAAATGGCAGTGACTGTGGAGTATTTGCTGCGGCCTTTGCTACATCTCTTGCTTATGGTATACACCCTGAAACAGTGCAATTTGATGTCCCTAAAATGAGAAACCATTTATATCAGTCTTTAAATTCTGGTGTATTGAAAATGTTTCCTACAATTTACCCTGCTTAAGGTACATCTTTAGTTAAAACATTTTTGAAGAGAAAAAATAGCTGCTTTATTATAGAGAAAATAATATAGTTGCCTAATGCAATGGACCTACATATTGGAAAGGAATAATCAGTTCACGCATAAGTCTGAAAAAAATCTCACAATATATAACTAACCTGATAACTTCATTGATCACTAAGTTCTTGATTGACAAACATGGGAATCGTTGTTGCTGTTGTGTATGAACAAGAAAAAATCCTTCTGAAATACCAGGATATAATGCTTATCCCATGCTTAAACAGTAGCCCCTCCTCAAAACCTTAGATCCAAAACTTTTATGTAGTTATTCAATGAGCAAATAGTACTATCGCATATAATGAACTGCATATATTAAATTACTGGTGTCTAATGTTTGGCTCTCAGCGGATGAAAAACATTTAGAAGATAATTCTATCTGCTTTATTCAAGTGTCAAACTGTACTAGCAGTTTAGAACCACTGAGTGGGGACACTAAAATAAGTTTGAAGAGAATAAATAAATTAATTAATTAAAAGAGATTTCTTCAGACATAAAACTGTAAAAACGAACTACGAAATCCGATGTTTCGCAGTAGTCATGACTCCATTATCAAGGAAAACATAAAAAAGATCATGCAACTTGCAACATATAAAGCGTTTTTGGCGCGAAGAATTAACATAAGAGGTTGCGAAGATCATAAAAATATTATGAAAATACTTTCGCACGAATGAAGTCTGATTGTACGTTGAGATTTGGTTTTAACGCTCTTATAAAAGGCATTTCGTACACTAAGCAGTCAAATTTGTTTCTGCATTCTTAAGCACTTCGAAACGCATTAGCAGGCCCTGGGGCATTGTCCCGTGCATCTTCTTAGGGCCTGATTACATGAGGCGGGCTGGCCCTGTTAGCCGGGCTGATTTCTTTTGTTTTGGTGTTCGCCAAAGCGTGAAAACAAAAGAAATCAGCCCGGCTAACCGGGCCAGCTCGGCTCATGTAATCAGGCCCTTAATTGAACACTGGCACGTCAAATTATGTAAACAAAGGAAACCGAACAGTTACGTGCAATCGCCTGCGCATATTTTTCCTCTTCTGAAGGAAATAGGTACTAGAAAAAGAGAGATCGGTTAGACGAGCACAAAAAATAAATCTGTACCAATTTTCCTGGTCATCGACAACATCTTCGCAAACATATCTGACAGCGGCTGAGTCAATCGAAGGTAGCTCATTCTGAAAGAAATTTGTCACCTTTCTAAAAATACTCGCAACTCAGAAGCGGCAAAGAAGAATCTGGGACCGTCGAGACGTAACAAAAAACAAATCTGGCAAAACACTATCGAAGATACAGTTGTTTACCTCTTTTCCAGCCAAAGACTGCATCTGTGTTCCACGAAAATGCTTAA